GGGGCTGTGGAGTGGGGTGGGGTACATCTGTACCAGGCCAGGTCAGGCCAGGCCTAGCTTGGGTCATCGTGAGTTCTTTTTTAAAATTGTTGAGGTTAGCCAGTGGTGTGAGGTTAAGGTGGCTGGATCCCATGTGGTTGATTATGCGGTTTGAGTCATGAACCTGGCAGGCTTAAAAAACACCATGCTCGTGTGCGTGCATATCCAAAACCCCCAGAGGAGGATGGAGGAGACAGGACTGTGGTGTGGCCATCCCCTTGGGGGTGCCTTCTCTCTCTGGTTTGCATGCCCTCCACCATAGTCTTCTTTTTTTTTTTTTAATTGTCAGGATCATATGAAATATACCATTTTATTCATTTTCGAGTTAGCATTTTTGAGTTCTTCAAAGACATCATTTTTACTAGCTTTTCTTCTATTTTTTTTAAACCAATGTCTGAATAGTCACTTTTTTTTTTTTTAAGGAACTCAGTCATTTATTTTTTTATTTTATTTTATTTTTAAGAGGTTTTTGCTATAGGGTGCATGCGCTTGCCAGACAGAGAGAGACAGAGAGACAGAAAGCGAGAAATCACCCCACAGGGGGGATGGCCACACCATAACCCCTTCCCCTCCATCCTCCTCTGGGGACCTTGGGCACGCACGTACACGCGCCCAGCATGAGTTTTAAGCCACCGGGTCTGGGACGTGAACCGCAGTTGACTACATGGGAGTCCAGTGACACAGCCATTACGCTAACTGCTGGTCCCTCATTTGTTTTAATTTGACCAGAGAGAGACGTCTTTTTTTTTTTGATGTTGTTGACAAAGGATGCATGGGTTCTCCAGAAGCAGAGAGACAGAGTCATAGAGGGAGAGAAATCGCCCCCACAATGGGACATGGTCACGCTGCAATCCCTTCTCCATTTCTCTGCCCTCTCAGAATTTGGGGCACACATGCACCCTCATCTAGCATGTTTTTCAAGCCCCCAGAGCTGAGATTCAAGCCCCGAGGTTGGGCACATGGAATCCCTTTGTCTTAAACACCAGGCCACGGAGCCACTAGCTTTCCCATTACAGGGCGACATCTCATTTATTAACTGCTCTTTAACGATGGGTATTGGGACTGCTTCCAGCTTTTTACGATGAAATATTATCTTCTAGTTAATATTTTGGTACCTCAATCTTTGGCTTTTGTAAGTTCTCTCCCGAGTTCTGAATGGAAAACTGCTGGTCAGAGTGGCAATCCTTCCAGAGCTCTGGGTGTGTGTTTGGCAGAGTGCTCTCTGGAAAGTCTGGTTCTGCCACTTGGTCACCTTTGTCTCTTACAGGCTAGGTCCCATTGTGCACTTGAAAGAGACAGAGAGGGAGAAAGAGAGCCAGAGAGAGAGAGAGAGAGGAAGGAATTCAAATCTTGCATGACCTTGGGTGAATCCCTGTCCTTGGGTCCTCAGTTTCTTCACATCTGTAAAGTGGGCTTATTTTTACAACACACAGAGATTGCACTCACCCTGTGTGCCAGGTCCTGTGTGCCAGTCAGAGCCCCCTGGGGCCGTTCTCTTTCTGAGGTGACAAATCTGAGCAGGTTCAGAAGCGCTGGAAGATGCTAATATTTGGTTTGGAGCCAGCAGGTGACACAGTGGATAAGGTGCTGGACTCTCGCATGGCAGACTGTGGTTTGAGTCCCCAGACCCTGCAGCTTGAAAATCTTGCTGGGCATGTGTGTGTGCTGTGCCAAAAATCCCGAGAAGAGAACGAAGGAGAATGGATTGCAGAGTGGCCACCCACTGGGGTGGAGGGTGACTTCTCTTTCCTTCTCTCTCTCTCTCTCTCTCTCTTTCTCCAGCGAGTGCACACATCCTATGGCAAAAACCTTAAATCAAACAAACAAAAAGAATGCTAACATTTTTAGGTCTGCACCCATTAGCTTTTTTGGGCCTTGGTATATAGGAATGAGAGGGTACTGGACCCCACACCTTTTAGCAAATTAAAGTAAAAAACCAAGCACAGCTTTGGGCTGGACAGTGGCACAGCAGGAAAATGCAATGCTCGGAGAGGTAGACTCACGTGGGAAGGATGCTAGTTTACATCTGGAGACCTCCTTGGGTATACCAAGTACAGGTGAATCTGTGAACTGGGCTCCCAAGAGGAGCATAGAGGAGCATAGGAATTGCAGCATGGCCAGCCACCCTGGGGGGTGGGGGGGAGGTTCTTGCTTTCTGTCTTTCTCTGTCTCTCTGACAAGTGCAACTGCCCTATAGTAAAAATCTCTCTCAAAAAAAAAAAAAAATTGGGGGCGGGCAGGTGGTGTGGTGGTTAAAGGCACTGGACTCCCACATGGCCAACTATGGTTCAAGTACTGGACCTGGTGGCTTGCTTTCTCACTTTCTCTCTGTCTGATCAAACTGGAAAATAATCATGATAATAATAATAATAAATAAAGTTAAATAAAGCAATTTAAAAAATCGCAGCTTAAATGAGACATAATGAATACACCAAGAAATTCACTTTTTTAAAACCTACAGTTCAGTAACTTTTAGTATTGGAGAATAGAGACAAAAACCAACCAAAGTATTTTCCCCTATCATCAAACACACAATATAGCATAGACTAGTTCTGTGATTCCTGGTCACCAAAACGTGTGGGAATTTCTCCCTGCCAAGCAAGCTTATTTGATTTCTCTCGTGAGAGAGTGGCACTGTCGACAGGGTCTCACCATATCAAGATCCCTGTTCTCAGTCCTCTCTCTAGTTGGGATCTTGGGAAGTGGCTGGCACCTCACACATCCACTCGGGATCCAGACCCAAGGTCAGCCATGTGGCTTCCAGGACTGCAGATCGGCCCACTGCTGCCTGATACTGAGGCTGGCCCCACAAACACTTTAAAGTTGTGACTCTTTGGGACCAGCAGTTGGTGTAGTGGCTATGTTGCTGGACTCCCATGTAGTTGGCCGCAGTTCGAGTCCCGGACCCGGTGGGTTAAACTCATGCCGGGTGCGTGTGTGTGCGCGCGCGTGCCCAAGATCCCAAAAGGAAAATAGAGAAGGGATTATGGCGTGGCCATCCCCTCCCCCCCACCCCCCCGGGGTGTGTGTGTGTGATTTCTCGCTTTCTGTCTCTCTGTCTCTGTCTTTCTGGTGAGCACATGTGCCCTATAGCAAACCGCCCCCCCCCAAAAAAAAAAAGTAAATTAAAAAATATAATAAAGTTTTGACTCTTCTGTAAATCTTGCTTGTGAACATCACCGCACATCTTAAGTCTTTCTCCAAGTGAGTCCACACCCTTTTCTACCCCAAGATTACTACAGCACATACACTGGAGTAGCTACTGGTCAACCCCCGTACCCTTTGGCTGGATATTTGCAAGGCCTCTGCTTTTATGCCGTAGCAAACAGCATAGCACTGTGCCTTCTCTCCAGCCAGCACTGTGCTTCTGGGAGAAAGGGCATTTTTCTGGTTGCCACTGCAGACAGGACCCTGCATGTCCTTAGCCAATCCCAGGCCCAGACTGATCAGTGATCTTAAGTCACCCCAGAAGGCCTGGCGCACTGAGACGTCTGACGCTCTGAGAGGTGAGGGCCAGCCCTGGAGCCCAGCCAAGCCCTGCAGGCCTGCTTTTCTGAGCACAAAGGAAAGGTGCCTAGTCATAGTAACTTGCAATTTGAGTGGTAGGGTCAGGATCTGTGGGTTCTGCTCTCCACCCTACAGCTCTACAGCCCATTGGGTCCTGCCCAGGAAGCTGTGTCAGGCAGGGCCAAGCGATGGCAGAGTGCCCAGAACCCGGGCATGGTGAATGGTTTGGGCATTGCCTGCAGTCTGCAAGACCCCGTAGGGAGGGGACCTTCCCTGGTAGCTCCTGTAGGTTCCCTAGTAGGTTCCCTGAACAAGGCCCAGGTGGTGGTGGAGGTTGTGTTTCCCATGGATATCAAAGGGTAGAATTTTGTTTTGCTTTGTGGGGAGATTACAAGGATTTTCTCCTGGGCAAGCTGTTGAATAGCTCGATGGGCAGGGTGACAGTGTGGGATGAAGGGACCTCCTCCTTGTGCTTGACCTCTCTGAGTCACAGTAGCTTCCAGGAAACATGAAGCTTCAAAGGGCATCTCCCTGCTAACGTTGGCTGGAGGATTCTGGGAGGTATGTCAAGTCCCAAGTCCAGGTTCGTTTGCCCCCAAAAACAACAGCTTTTTTTGAGAAGTTTTTGCTATAGGGAGCATGCACTCACCAGAGAAACAGACAGACAGAAAGTGAGAAAATCACCCTCCAGGGAGGATGGCCATGCTACAATCCCCTCTGGATCTAGAGCACGCACGCACACGTGCCTGGCTGAGTTTAAGCCATCGGGTCTGGGACTCGAACTGCAGTCGACTACACGGGAGCCCAGCGACATAGCCATTACACCAACTGCTGGTCGCTAAACACAACAGCTTTAACTGGTCCTCCCTACTCCCACCTCTGGAATTAGTGATGTGCTGTTGAGTAGATCGGCATTGAGAAGGCATGTGCTCTGTGCTCAGCGGGAGCTGCTGCTGCCCACCCAGTCAGGTTGCAGGTGGTCTGGCCAACACCAACCCTTGACACTCAGCAATTCATCTGCTGGGCACAGTGCTGGATGCTCTGAGCAGCAATGGGCCTGTCTTGGTTCCGAGCCCAGAAGAGGTCACAGGGCAGGAGTTGTGTGTTCATGGGGCACTGTCCTGTGATCTGTACAAACAATTCCTTGCTGAGCTTGAAGATCAGGCAAGGCTCCCTGGCCATGGACAGCCAGTTCTTTTCTTTTTTCCTTCCTTTTTTTCAAATGATTTTTTCCCATAGGGTGTGTGTGCTTGACAGAAAGGGACAGAGAGGGAAAGTGAGAAATCACTCCCAAAGGGAGATGGCAGAGTTGGCGATATGGAATCAAGAGCTTTAACCACCATGCCATCCCCTGGCCCTCTTTGTTGGTTTTGTCCCCATACCTTAACCTTTCTCACCAGGATGGGGGCTGTTCCTATTTCTACGAATTAAATAAAAACACAATTCAAATGTAGTTAGGTGCTAAAACTTGGTTTTGAAATTTTATTAAAAAAATATATTTGCAAACATATAAAATTTAGGATGAAAAATGCTCATTTTAAAACATGTAATAACTTAATATTTGCAAACATACACAGATGGTATAAAATCCATACCATTAAAAATGTTATCGATGCAGTATTGCGCCCATGGAACCCGAATCTCGCTGTGACCCCAGAGCTCCTCGGCCCTTGGTGCCAGGGAGCTGAGAACCTGGTACACTGAAAGTCACGAGAGCCACATGGCAGATGCAGGAATACAGAATAAAAAACCATTTAGAACACATATTTTAAAAACACGCTTCTTAAGGAATCACACAGATAAAAGGGAAACACAAGTTTGCATTTTCCCCGCTTCAAAGTGAACGATATTGCATCTTAGCATTTTCAATGAAGATGTCAAATAGAAAACCGAGCGAAACATTGCACACATCTCTCCTGCTGTTTGCTGAGAAACAGGCTCCTTGCAGCCCTGGCCCGCACAGGGAAAGGTTCTTAAGTACAGTTTTACAAGGCCCAGCGTGAGTTACTCTACTTTGCTCAGATTTTACCATTACAGACATCTGAGTGCACAGGGCACTGTAGGTTCCAGAAGGTACTTTGAACACAGTTGAAGAAAACCAAAGGTAAGCAAGAAAGAAACACGTGCTCTGCAACCAGCGTGCAGTAAGGACGCAGGACGTGTGCCCATGACCCCTCGGTTCCCCTCGCTCCCACAGGCTCAGCCCCTCCGTGCCTGTGCACCTCATTCCTTTCAGTTACAGTATGATGGGTGATCCTGTTTTATAAGCAGTTAGGCACCTTCAATTTCATGTTGCATTATTAGTAAGTAATACAATGGCAGTTACGGCCTCTACTACTGAAACGAGAAGATTCCAAACTACATTCTTTGGGGGAGGAGAGTAAAAAAGCTGCAAGGGTTTCAAATATTTACCTAATGGTGGAGTTGATGGGGTTTATCATTTCTACAAGAAAACATAGGCTAGAAAAAGGGCAGATGCTTGACATGCAAAATCTGGTCAGACACCTCAGTCATGCCGCCTCCTGCAGAGGAGGACCACGTTCACGTGGGTTCCTAACCAAGCACCTCTCCGTGATGGCTATTCCTTGGCCTTTGAAGGCAAACTGGACGTTCCATATGAGACAGCATGAACTGCTTCTCCTGACCTTGACAGCCTTGGGAAAACTTCAGGTTTGGAGTCAAACAGGCCAGCTCTCAGGCCTCTCCAGTCCCAGGAGAGATGTACAACTGAGGAAGCGCTTCTGCCTTAAAGGAATGAGGTGGTCTGGGAGGTGGGGGAGTCCATTCAGACATCACGTGAACTACAAGAGAAGAGCAGCCCCCCATGGCCGATGCCCCAGACACACCCTCTGCTCCAGGCTCTGGGCTGCTTCTGTGAAGCCTATGCTTAACCCCAGGTTCACGGAAGAACCATGTTCTAAATGCAAGTCTCCTGGAGTTCTGCAAAACCTAACAAGAAGCGTTTCCATCTTGTGTCCATTTCAGTTCAGATCCAGCCTAGGTTCCAGTAAAGACACTGCAGCAATGTAAACGTGCAACCTAAGCTAGCGTGAGCTTCTGGATAGAAGCCTGAACAGGAATAAGGCAACTGAACTGTGACTTGCGGCCAGGACCATCCAAATGCAACTACCCAGGCGTGGCCTGGCTTCTCTAGGGACTCGTTTGGCCTGAACTTACTGGTCATCATGAACATGATCTTCTGGCTTCTGATTTTAAGTAAATGCTTTGAATATAGAAATTTAGGAGTCAAAACAGGTTTACTCTGTTCAAGTCTCCGTGACTTGGGCACTTAAAAGTTTACTTTCGCACGAAGCCTCATCATAGATTCTCTTTACTGTCTATCATATTCATTCCTAGGATTACGGGATAAAAATTACAGACTTGATTACGGACTCTCCTTAGGATATTCTTCCTTAACTCTCAAAATATTAGACATACTCAACAGCATCATTTAAATTGAAATGTCCATTCTAACAAGAATCCTTTGATTCGTCTTTCTACCGATGCCCACTAAGCCCACATCTGGGTGTGGTCAAACCTACTGGTGCACCCCCATTTCATGAGGACAACTGCAGGGCTCCCTGGACACCATGTCCTGGTGTCAGCAACGCTCCGCATCTTACTGTCACTTTCTCTTTCCTGGGTGATGCACGAGCAATTCATTTTTGGTTGCTGAATGTATACACTATCTTCGAAAACAAACTATCCCTAATTTTGAGTATGGAAACTTACAAGCGTCCCTGAATTCTGCACAGTTCATACATAACTAGGTAGACAGCAACAGAAAACACTAAATCGAGAAGCAGAAATGTCCAGGAAGCATATTTAGATGAACAAAAGCCAATCAAATAAAGTATTCTTTAGGCTAAAACACGAAGACCAAACTAAAACAAATATGGATTTCACAAGTAATTTTCTAAAATTTTGGCTAGGGAAAAAAAAAAAAATCTATGGATTTATGATTGAGTTCCCATTAAAGCTTATATGATCGTTCCCGAGGAACTGTCACATCTGTCAGCATTATTCACAGCTAATCCTTATGCTAGCTGGTTGAGCCAATTGGGTTTCTACCCCATCATTAAATAGTGCTCAGAAAAGTAAGCAGTGCATCTTAATTGGTTAAATACTACAAAATGACCTGTATCATAGAAACAAAGACACTTTCATTCAAATAATATCTTAAAATTACTATTGCTGAAATAAATCAAGATCTACATTAAAATATTACTAACACCATTACATGCCATAAAAGAATAAATAGAAATCATGGCAGATCAATAGCAGCATAACAAAGCATCTTTACATATTTTCACACTTGGGGCTGGAAAAGTACTGCCAGCCTGGGAATACACTGGAAAAGTTCCGAGTCTCATACTTTTTAACTCCGTATTCGACAACGAAGTAAGGGCAGTGTGAGTAACAGCTCCCTTTTCTGCATAGCTTTAAAACGATCCCAGCACACCCGAGGGCAGAACCAGGACGGCTCTGCCAAGTTGGCTCACTGGTCCTTTTGCCAAAGTGTTAAGGGAAACAATCAACAATGACTCCTAACTGTTCAGACAGAAAAGGAAATTAAGGCTGTGCTTCACACACAAGCTCAACATCGTCAAAACCACTGGAGGGTTTAAATTAAAATATATAAAGATTTCTGCCAGGATTTGGGCATCACCGACACCAGGGGTGTGACGTGTCCGCTCCACAACACTGAGCCCGCCAGGGCCCTATTCAAACTGTAACGCTGTGCGGGGAGCCTGCGACATGGCAGGATGGGGGACACTTAAAAACAAAACACGATGGAGAAATTTTAGAACTGTTAAGGCCCAAATGGGGCAGTCATATAAAACACGCTTCACTTGAACAAGTAATTCCTAATTTACCAACTTAAACTCTGATCCATAAAATTCGAAGCTACTTTGCAGAGCTGACTTCTCTGTTCCGCGACTATTAGCCTAATGCCCAAGTTTCTTGGGGGTGGGGACTGAGGACGGGGTGCGGACAGGGCTGAATTCTGTTGGCTCCAGGGCTGGTGACCACTCCTCCCCAAATCCTTACATGTGAAGGCAAGCTGAAAGTCAGATTCCTCATTCCACGTACTTGCTCACAGCTGATGAAAACGCCCACATAACAACACGGTGGTCCCCCCCTCGAACAAAGGTCTGCTGGTGATGCTTCACAGTGAAACCTCCATCGTCACTGACAATGCCACTTGGGACACATTCTTAAGGAGCGAGTCTTTTTCTCACAGGCTCAATTTCGGAATTCTCAAAACCCCATGTTCTGTTTAGGAGTTTCCACGAGGAAGCCTGCTTATCTCTGAGGCTGACACTCTGCCTTCAGATCAATTCTGCTCTGTCATAGGTTGTGGTTGTCTTTGCTCTTGGTCAGAACCTGCAGGTAGACTTCATGAAGTGTGCTGAGGAAGCTGGAGTCATTCTGGAAGAGACGGTAAAGACAAGGACACGAGGTGTCATGTTTACCTCATCACACTCCACTGCCTGAAAAGCAGCTCAGGGAAAAATGGCACGGATAATCTGTAGAACTAGTTTCTAGTGATTAGTTTATTCAGACAGTCCCACCGCCCAGACATCACGTCAGTATCGGGGAGCTCACTTAAGATAGTTTCCCACCAGTTGTGCTCAGAAAAAAGCATTATCCCAGCTGCTCTTAACTTTCTTTTAGGTTTTTGCCACAAGGCATGTGCACTCACTAGAGAGAGACAGAGAGGGAAAGTGAGAAATCACCCTCTCAGGGGTGATGGCCACATCAGAATCCCTTTTCTCTATTCTCTTCCTGGGATTTTGGGCATGAACACATGCCTGGCATGATTTTCAAGCTGCTGGGTGTGGGACTCAAACTACAGTCGACCATGTGGGAGTTCAGCGCTGTAACCATCACACCACCAGCTGGTATTTAAAAAACAGATTTTTTTTTTGGAGAGGTTTTTGCTATAGGGCATGTGCTCATCAGACAGACAGAGACAGACAGAGATACAGAAAGTGAGAAATCGCCCCCCAGGGGGGATGGCCACGCCGCAATCCCTTCTCCATTCTCCTCCCGGGATCTTGGGCACGCACGCACATGCGCTGGCATGAGTTTTAAGCCACCGGGTCCGGGACTCGAACCGCAGTTGACTACATGGGAGTTCAGCGACATAGCCATTACGCTAACTGCTGGTCCCAAGGAATAACAACTAAAGAGACTACGTTGCCATCTCACTTACCTTTATGAGGTGTATTAACGTGTCCTGGAGCTGAGACTTGCTGAGAACAATGGAAGGCTTTCTCTGGTTTTCTGGTGTTCTGACAGTTAAAGGAGATGGGGACTTTGCCTTCCGCTCAAAGTCTGTGGACCTTGAAACTGTCTGCTGGAAAACACTGGGGGACAGCAGGACTGAAGACACTGCTGTGGTCGCTGTAGTAACCAGAGGGGAGCCTGCAACCTGCAGGGGAACAACGGTCATTCTGCACTGGCCAGCAGCCAACGGTGCTGCCGGAGCACTCTGGAGGGCCCCCCATCTTGTGCATGTGCATGCATTCTATAATGGATAAAGACAAAAACTTTTTTTTTGAAATTTGCTGGAGGGCCTGTGTGCTTGCCAGAGGTGAATAGATAGACAAGTGCACGTGAGCACTCCTCAGTGGGATGTGGCTAAGCTGCAATCCTTTTTCCTCCATTCTGCCTTCCTGTCAGGACTTTGGGCGCACCCACACACTCTGTGTTTTTCTTTTTTTTTGGAGAGATTTTTGCCATAGGGCATGTGTGCTCACCAGAGAGAGAGAGAGAGAGAGAGACAGAGAGATAGAAAACGAGAAATCACCCCCCAGGGAGGCTGGCCATGCCACAATCCCTTCTCCGTTCTCCTCTTGGGATCTTGAGCACGCACACAAACGCACCTGGCGTGAGTTTAAGCCACCAGGTCTGGGACTCAAACCATGGTCGGCTACATGGGAGTTCAGCGACATAGCCATTACACTAACTGCTGGTCCCACTCCGTGTGTTTTTCAAGCAGCTGTAGCCAGGACATGAACCATAGCCAGTAATGTGAGACCCAGTTCCCTTAACCACTGTGTTGCAGGGCCAGACCAGAGAAGAGAATACGTGAGTTTAAGCCACCAGGTCTGGGACTCAAACCATGGTCGGCTACATGGGAGTTCAGCGACATAGCCATTACACTAACTGCTGGTCCCACTCCGTGTGTTTTTCAAGCAGCTGTAGCCAGGACATGAACCATAGCCAGTAATGTGAGACCCAGTTCCCTTAACCACTGTGTTGCAGGGCCAGACCAGAGAAGAGAATATTTTTTTTTAAAGAAAAGGGGGGGGGCTCTTACCGGGATGGCATTGGATAACACCTTAGGCTGGGTAAATACTTCAGGATCCTGGTTTTGCTGCATAGACTGAAACAATGAAAAAGAAAAGACGGAGAGAAGTAGGAAGTTTCAATGAGGATTTCCTAGGCACTGGAGAACACTCCAAGTTAGCAGTAAGAAATGGCTCAGACACTGACTGGTTCCCAGACCCTCAAGGGAAGAGGCTGTTGGGGCTGTGACAATGCAGCCAGTGACTCCACAGTGAGCTCCAGGGCAGCCTCCCTTTCGTTCCCAAGAAGAGGGGTGTGTCCTGAGCCTTGAAGATGTCTCTGAAGAAAAAGCAGGAACCTGAGTCTCTCACAGGAGCTGGGACAACCCAGGCTTATTCTGCTGCTGAGTCTACAGAGGAGGTGCTACGGTTTGTATGTCCTCCCGAACTGTGTGTGTTGAAACTGGGCTGTGGTAAGAGTAAGAGGGCAAACACTTAATCAGACTATGGAGTTGAAAGGCTGGGCCTTTGGGAAGAGATTAGGGTTAAGTCATTACGACAAAGCCCCCAGGATTCACTCCAAGTGGGTTTACAAGGAGGGGCGATGAGACAGATGGACACACCTCCCACCTCCCTTGGCACCTGAGTGGGTGCCTGTGCCAGGAACCTTAAGAGCACCCCAGAATAGGAGGTGAAAGGTCAAGTAAATAAAGCTTCCTGGAGAAAGTGATGCATCAGCTGAGATCGAAGACTTGGTAGACGTCTGCCAGCCTTTCCTAGAGGTGGGATAAGTGAGGCAAGGGGATCAGCATGTGCAGGGCCTGGAGGTGAGAAGGCATGAAGAACTGTTGTGTGGCATCTGACCATGGACAGGAAGCTGAGGGAGCTGGCGTTGCGGGGGTGGGAGGGTGAGGAGGACTTCATCAATTGTGTTAAGGAATGAGAATTGTGTTTCCAGAGCTCTGGAAAGTCTTTGAAAGGCTTTGTCCTGGGAACAGAGAGGTGTCCATCAGGCAGGAGGCAGTGGCAGTTACCCAGGGTGAGGTGGGAATGGAACTAAGCTTGGAATAATTGGGTCTCAGGTATTGAGTCAGAGGAGGACTCCTGGAACCTTCAGGAAAAAAGAAAATAAGCTAAAATGCATACCTGGAGAAGAACATACAAATATGATTTCTCAGCTCTTACCAGCTGAAATAATGTGAGGAAGTGGAATTGAGCTATAATGTTATTTGCTAATTATTATTATTTAGAGAGATTTTTTTGCTGTAGGGCACATGCGTTTGCCAGAGAGACAGAAAGTGAGAAATCACTGCCTGGAGGGATGGCCATGCCACAATCCCTTTTCTCCATTTTTTGGGGATTGTGGAAATGTGTGCACACATATCTGACATGAGTTTTAAGCTGCTGGTCTGGGACTCAAACCGCAGTCGACTATGTGGGAGTCTAGCAATGTAACCATTATGCCATCTGCTAGTCCCTATTTGCCAATTGTTTCATTGTTCATTCTGGGGTTGCTCACCATCCATTTCTGCCAGCTCCTAATTTTTTAAAAAGAGATTTTTCACTATAGGGCACGTGAGCTTGCCAGAGAGAGAAAGAAAATATATGAGAAATCCCCCCCCAGGGAGAATGGCCATGACCACAATCCCTGCTCCTCCGTTCTCCTCTTGAGATTTCAGGCATGCACACACATGTGCCTGGCTTGAGTTTTAATCCACTGGGTCTGGGACTTGAATCATGGTCCACTATGTGGGAGTCCAGAGACATAACCGTTATACCATCTCCTGGTCCCGAAAGAGGCAACTCTTTAACCAGGCCCCACTGTCCACGTCTGCTGAGTCCAGGGCATCTGCAGTTCACCCTGTCCAGTCAGTCAGTCTCCACCCTGCCCGCCTCACCCTTCACCTCTACCTGTAGGGGAGCAAGCACCATGTTGCTCAGGGAGGCTGTGGCTGCTGCTCTGGTTGCTGCTGTCTTGGCAGGAGGCTCGATGAAGCTCTCGGGGGTGGCCAGCAGGCCAGCTGCTGGCGGGAAGCTGGTAGCTGCCGCACCTTTCCCAGGTGGCTGGGTCTGTATTTGGTCATGCTGTGGGGTCAACCTGAGTTTCTGGAGGAGATCAATGCTCGGCAGGGAAGTGCCGGCCGAGTTTGTCACACTCAGTGGGGACCTGAAGGGGCTATGTCTGGCCATGAGGCCGGTGTGGCTTAGATCAGGGACTGGCTGGTTCAGGAGTGGTGACCTCTGTCTGGGCGTGGCCTTCACCTGCATCATGGCGCTGTTTCGAGGTAAGCTGGGGGGAACCTGTGCAGCTGGGGCTTCGGCTGGCAGAGTGGGGCTGAGCACAGGGCTCAATGGCACTGTGTAGCTTGGCGCATGCTTTTCACTGGACTGGGCGATGGAGGCTGGCGTGATGAGCACCGGGGCAGTGACTTCAGGCTGGACTGAGTGGTGGGCAGCAGGATGGACACCCAGGCTCTCTGGCTGAGGGGCTCCTCCTGACCGCTCAAAGGGAAATGGCAGGAACGAGCCAGGCTCTTTCTGGGAGGCATCTCCTGGCAGTTTCTCTACTTCTTCTGAATCTAGACCCACAACTGCTGGCTGCTCCCTCGGCAAAGAGGTTCCAAATAACTCTTCCACTGTCAGATGTTTGTGTCCAGATGGAGCAGACTGAAAAACAGAACAAACCACACAATGAAGGGAGGCACCTGCGATCAAGTGTAACCAAACTTCATCAACTAAGGCAGTTTCCAGAGTAAGGACAGAAGGAATCTGAAAATAAGGACTAGAGCCAGTCTGTGGCCTGGAGGTTAAGGAGCTAGAGCCCACAGGGCTGACTGCACAGTCTGAATCCTGGACCTCGTAGCTTGAAAAACACATGGGGCATGCGTACTTAAAATCCCCAAAGGGGGGAAGAGTAGAGGAGAAAGGTCTGTGGTACGACTGTTCCCCATGGGAGGCACTCTCCCCCTTCCCATTTTTTTCTCTAGTGAAAGGATGTTCTCTGGCAAATTAAAAAGAAATAAGGAACAGAACAAACTAAAGCCTGTACTGGGGGCAAGTGATCCTACCTTTATTTTTACTGTTTTGGTAAAAAGTGAGACATTGCACCTCGAGGAATGGGCCCCCAAAGCAGAACATCACTCTGGGTGGGACAGCTGGCTGGGGGCATGCTATGCTGTATTTTCTCTCCGGTGTGCAGGCAGCGCCCTCTGCTGGGCTAGAGGTGGCCGGCAGCCTAAGGAGAAGACAGGCCCTCGGTGCAGAGTAACTCCAGAGGGAAGAGGCAGGAGTCTCCAGTTTTAAAAAATTATAGCGTCATACCAAATCACTGTATCTTGAATACAGATTCAATAAAGGCAGTTCCAGTAATATTAAAAGCTAACATAATATGTCTTGGCAAGTGATTGTGCCAAGAGGCCTTTATGTGAAGGAATTCTCAAATGGCAAACTTAAGCCCCACAAACAACGCTGTAGAAAGACCACCCTGTCACAACATGCTCTGGCACTCTGAGAGACGACCTGGGTTCAGAATCTCACTGCAAATGTAAGGTAGTACCGACATCTAATTACAAACTGTGAATGCAAAAAAAATGATAAAGATTCTACACAGAACAATTTTAAGTTTTTACTTCTTTTTTTTTTTTTGGAGAGATTTTCACTGTAGGGCGCGTGCGCTCGCCAGACAGACAGAGAGAGACATAGAGACAGAAAGCGAGAAATCACCCCCCAGGGGGGATGGTCACACCGCAATCCCTTCTCCTCCATTCTCCTCTCGGGATCTTGGGCACGCACGCACACGCGCCCGGCGTGAGTTTTAAGCCACCGGGTCCGGGACACGAACCGCGGTCGACTACGTGGGAGTCCAGCGACATAGCCATTACGCCAACTGCTGGTTCCCAAGTTTTTACTTCTTAAAACAAAACAAAACAAAAAAACATAGAGCTTAGGGTCTAAAATTAAAAAAAAAAAAATCTAGGTTCAATTATGAACTGTTACGGGGAAAACTCCGTAACTTCTGTTTATTTAGTTCCTTATCTGAAAACTGGGGACAACCATGACACATCTCAAGAGCTGTTGTGAAAATTAAGTTCTCAGTCCAATGTCTGGTGCCCAATAAAACATTTCATAAAGTCATACCACAATCCCCTTCTCCTCTACTTCCCTCTTTCGGGATTTTAGGCACACACGCTGATTCTTTTTCTTTTCTTTTTTATTTTAAGAGAGACTTGCTATAGGGCACATGTACCCTTTGGAGAGAGAGACAGACAGACAGACAGAAAGTGAGAAATCACCCCACCCCCCCCGAGGGGATGACCACATTGCAATCCCTTTTCTTCCATTCTCCTCTTGGGATTTTGGGCACATACACATGCACATGGCAGGAGTTCAAAGCCTCCATGTCTGGGACTTGAACTGTGGTTGGCCATGGGGGAGTCCAGTGATGTAACCATTACACCATCTGCTTTGTCTCTACACACACTTGCTTACAAGCTGCTGGGTCTGGGATTCTAATGATGCAGTTAGCCATGTGGGATCCGGCCACTTTAACCCAAATGCTACCAGCCCGCCTCTGAGAACATTGGCTAAGGTTATCATTGCCTAAATACTACATCGTCTTAACAGCAAGCATGATATGTTGGCATTTGGATGCTTTTTAAAGAATACCAAGTAATATGTTGGGTTATTAAAATGTCATCGAGTCCTCCTATAATATCTTTTTTTTTGGAGAGATTTTCGCTATAGGGCACGTGCGCTCGCCAGACAGACAGAGACACAGAGACAGAAAGCAAGAAATCACCCCTCAGGGGGGATGGTCACGCCGCAATCCCTTCTCCATTCTCCTCTCGGGATCTTGGGCACGCACGCACACACGCCCGGCGTGAGTTTTGAGCCACCAGGTCTGGGACGCGAACCGTGGTCGACTACGTGGGAGTCCAGCGAAATAGCCATTACGCTAACTGCTGGTTCCCTCCTCCTATAATATCATAGTCCCATAATGCAAAACAACAAAACCACCTGATGGTAAGCCAAGGCTGTGATATTATAAACCGCCCTGCTAGTCCCCCATGCAGGAAGTCGCTGAGGACAGAGCTGTTTGTTTAAAACACCCTGAGTACATTTCCAACCCACTCAATGTAAGTCAAAGTAGACAACGAATTTTCCCTTGGGACAGACTTCTCTGTCCAAGTCAAGAAACTGCAGTCAGGTTCACAGTGAGTCCCATCCCTTGCTTTTGGATCTTGGCATTATACATGTCTATGGAAGTTGTCTGCACATTTTGAATTGGCTTATTTTTTTTTTTAAAGAATTATTTATCTCTAATTTTGACCAGAGAGAGAGAGTGAAAGAGGGAAAGTAAGAAAGTAAGCCGCCAGGCCCGGGATGTGAACCATGGTCAGCCATGTGGGAGTCCAGCTACTTAACCACCATGCTACCTGCCAGTTCTTAGGGAATTTTACAAAGTAAATGGTGGGGCCAATTGGTGGCGTGGAGGTTAAAGTGTTGGATCCCACATGACCCACTGTGTGGGACCTGGACCTGATGGCTTGGAAAATCATGATGGGTGTGTGCATGCGTGCCCCAAATCCTGGGAGGTGAATGGAGAAGCAGCAATGCGGCATGGCCATCCTCGCTGGGGGAGATTTTCCACTTCCCCCCTCTCTGTCTCTCTCTGGTGAGTGCATGTGCCCTACAGCAAATAAACAAACAAAAAAAACCCCCCAAAAGTCAATTATGAAACTGAAATGAAGTTGGTACTAAGGCCTGACAGCATTATTTGCCCCTCAGCACTAGATGGCAGTGCTACTAAGCACAGGGAACAGTCACAATGACGGGACTATTGTGACAAATGCCTCAATGGCAATTTTGTTGTTGGGGAAATGGGTAATTGGGATTGTTCCATACTATTTCTTACAACTGCATGTAGATCCACAATCATGTGGAAATAAAAAAGGTTAATTAAAAATTATGGGTTTTACCTGATGTTTATTTATTAGACCATCATTTATAAAGATAATTTATTCCAACAAATATTTACAGTGCTTGATGCTAAGGGCATGGCTAAGGGCACGGCAATGACCAAGGCATACACAACTCCCGCCTACTCCCACAGAGCCTGTTCTGGTGGGTGGGACAGAGAAGCCAGAAAGAAGAAAAACATAAACCATGTTAGCTGGTTAGACGTTCCATTGAGAAAATTGAGCACAGAGGATAGGAGTGGCGGAGAGTTGCTATTTTAAATAGTCAGAGAGGGTCTAGCCTACACAGAGGACATCTGAGATCCAGAGGGGAAAAGGGAACAAGCCGTGTCTGGGAGGCGAGTTCTGCAGGCCCAGGAAAGAACAGGTGCCAAGGCCTGTCCTGAGGCAGGAGCATGTCTGGCATGATGAAGAAAAGGCGAGAGAGTCAATGAGATGGCCCAGTGAGGAAGGCAGCGTACCAGGAGGTGAAGTCTGGCAGAGGGGCCAGACAGGAAGGGCTCTCTGGGCCATGGCTAGACCCCGGCTGCTATCTGAGTGACAGGGAACACCACTGGAAGGTTTCAAGCAGTAGTATGCCATATCTGACTTCACATTTTCCAGGATTACTCTGACTGATGAGTTAAGAAAGGCAAGGGAGAGGCTGGCAGGGGGCCTGGGGGTTGAGGCACTGGACTCCCAAATACCCAATCGTGGCTCAAATCTTGGACCTGGAGGCCCCAAAAATCTCAGAGAACAACAAATATACAGATAAACAAATAAATGTTTAAAAAAGAAGAAAGAAAAAGAAAGAAAGAAAGAAAAAGAAAACATGAAAGGTAAGGGAACAACATGGGCAAGAGCTGGGTAGGAGGCTTCTCAAAATCCAGAAGAGGCACAGCTATGTGGGCCATGGGGACAAATGTCCTAATGTCACCCGAGTAAGGACCTTGACAGGTAAGTGACAGATACACTTGCACTGCATAGAAACGCTTACGGGATGTTACTGTTTTGTGACTTCGGACAATGCCAGGGCTTGAGCTGTACAAACCTTATCTTGTGACCCGGAGGGAGTCTCTTCCAGAGTCTCGGTGCTTCCCAGATTGGAGAGCTGAGTGCTTGGCTGTAAGCCAGGACTGGAGATATTGGAGTCGCCCATCTGATTCTGGAAAACATTGAAGAAGTACACCATGTGAAAAAAAGCTTGCTGTCTATTATCTGGCGCAACAAATAGCATTCGACATTATCAGACATGCTATTTAAAAAAAAAAAAATAAAAAGCAAACTCCTCCAGCCAAATACCTAATTTTAGACAACAGTATTAGTCACAATTGTTACTTTCATCACCATTTTAAGGAAAAGACAATGGTATTATTTTATCACATATTCCTTTCTACCTTTTTAAAAAATATTTTTCTAAGAGAAATTTTTGCTACTGGACACGTGCACTCACCTGAGAGACAGAGGGAAAGAAAGCGAGAAATCACCTCCTGGGGGATGGTCACGCAGTAATCCCTTTCTCCATTCTCCTCTCAGGATTTTGGACATGCACACACAGGTGCTTGGTATGAACTTGAAACTGCCAGGTCTGGGGCTCAAATGGCAGTTGGCCATGAAGACGTAACCATTACACCATCTGCCGGTCCCTCTATCTCATTTTTAAAGTTCACATATGGTGGATCAGGTAACATTTGGAGGTGTACAGTTCCGTCTGTGTGCCTCCGTCGTAGTCGCCACACAGAGCAGTTGTATCACGCCACACTCCCCGTGCAGTCACGACCCCCGCCCCTGCTCCACTCTGTCATTACAGTTCTGGCCATTCAGAGATGCTGCACACGTGGAAAATAAGTGGCATGCTGGTTTGTTTCATTCAGCACAACATATTTGGGGGATGGGTGGGAGGCGGCCCCGTACCCTGGTGGCTAAGGGAGCCCAGATCCCATGTGACCAACTACATGGTTTGGATTCTGAACTTGGCAGCTTGAAAAACATGTGTGCGCCCCAAGTCTCGAAGGGATGCAGAATTGCAGTAGGTATTGCAGCAAGACCATGTAGCGATCCCTGTTGGGAGGGCTTTCTTCTCCTCTCTCTGGCCAAAAAACAAACAAAAAAACAATGGGCCAACTGTAAAGGATTATGGTTTCAGTTTTCTTTATATGAAAAATAGGAAAGCTGGTTACAAGGAACAATAAGACTTATGGAAAAAAAATGTTTAGTAAAAGAGTTTTAATTTTCAAATAGTCTGTAATTACTCCATGCAAAATCTGAAGTTCCATTCATTATATTACACCCCAGACAAGAGATTTAGGATCGGGATTAAATCCCATCACTGAGGCCTAGCTTGTACCCCTACCCTTGAATCTGCTGTGTCCACAGATTCTACTCAATAGTAAATACAGGGGCCACGGGAGCCACGTGGCAGCGGAGGAGAGCCCATGCAAACATCAACCTGGGCATACCTGGTTCCTGTCAGCACCAGCTCCATTTGGTGAGATGACAGGCAAATGCAGACAAGAAGACTAAACTTGCTCTCTCTTTTGTTATGAAAAAAAGTACAGTTTTATTGCAAATCCCAAAGCAAGGAGAGTGGGCTGAAAAGCCCGGGCTCCCGGAGATGTTCCCCACATGTGTTTTTAAGGGCAAAATTAGAGGCAGGGGTCCCAGGCATGTGATTAGTTCAGTGATTGGGCCAAGAGGGCGTGATCATCTCGTGGGCATTCTTGACTGGTGAGGCCTTAGATCATCAAATTTCTGTTCAGGTTTCTGGAGCCATTCAGCCTGGGGCCATTCTCCTCTCAGGATTTTGGACATGCACACACAGGTGCTTGGTATGAACTTGAAACTGCCAGGTCTGGGGCTCAAATGGCAGTTGGCCATGAAGACGTAACCATTACACCATCTGCCGGTCCCTCTATCTCATTTTTAAAGTTCACATATGGTGGATCAGGTAACATTTGGAGGTGTACAGTTCCGTCTGTGTGCCTCCGTCGTAGTCGCCACACAGAGCAGTTGTATCACCCCACACTCCCCGTGCAGTCACGACCCCCGCCCCTGCTCCACTCTGTCATTACAGTTCTGGCCATTCAGAGATGCTGCACACGTGGAAAATAAGTGGCATGCTGGTTTGTTTCATTCAGCACAACATATTTGGGGGATGGGTGGGAGGCGGCCCCGTACCCTGGTGGCTAAGGGAGCCCAGATCCCATGTGACCAACTACATGGTTTGGATTCTGAACTTGGCAGCTTGAAAAACATGTGTGCGCCCCAAGTCTCGAAGGGATGCAGAATTGCAGTAGGTATTGCAGCAAGACCATGTAGCGATCCCTGTTGGGAGGGCTTTCTTCTCCTCTCTCTGGCCAAAAAACAAACAAAAAAACAATGGGCCAACTGTAAAGGATTATGGTTTCAGTTTTCTTTATATGAAAAATAGGAAAGCTGGTTACAAGGAACAATAAGACTTATGGAAAAAAAATGTTTAGTAAAAGAGTTTTAATTTTCAAATAGTCTGTAATTACTCCATGCAAAATCTGAAGTTCCATTCATTATATTACACCCCAGACAAGAGATTTAGGATCGGGATTAAATCCCATCACTGAGGCCTAGCTTGTACCCCTACCCTTGAATCTGCTGTGTCCACAGATTCTACTCAATAGTAAATACAGGGGCCACGGGAGCCACGTGGCAGCGGAGGAGAGCCCATGCAAACACCAACCTGGGCATACCTGGTTCCTGTCAGCACCAGCTCCATTTGGTGAGATGACAGGCAAATGCAGACAAGAAGACTAAACTTGCTCTCTCTTTTGTTATGAAAAAAAGTACAGTTTTATTGCAAATCCCAAAGCAAGGAGAGTGGGCTGAAAAGCCCGGGCTCCCGGAGATGTTCCCCACATGTGTTTTTAAGGGCAAAATTAGAGGCAGGGGTCCCAGGCATGTGATTAGTTCAGTGATTGGGCCAAGAGGGCGTGATCATCTCGTGGGCATTCTTGACTGGTGAGGCCTTAGATCATCAAATTTCTGTTCAGGTTTCTGGAGCCATTCAGCCTGGGGTCTTTGAGCTCACAGCCAGCAGTTTCCATCCACGTCTTGTGCTCTCCCTGGCTCTGTCCCTGCCAAGTTCATCTAGACACACTTCCTTCTGCGTGGCCAGAAGGAAGCTCAGAGTCTCTAGGTGAAGCAGGCGAGGCTCCATCTTGGAGGAGCGCCTCCACTATCAAGACTAAACTCTTATTTAAGGAAGCCCCGCCTATTTCTAGTTGCCATTTCCAAAAGGTAGAAAGACCATATACAAAGTAAATATCAAATCCTCAAGAATTTTCTTTCGACCTAGCCATAGACACTATTTTATTTATTCTACAATGAGGAAGGGTTTTATCCACAGGAATTACTATGTTAACCATATTCTTTAACTTCATGATAATTAAAATCATGTCAGAGTTTTAGATCACGCATTTGACCCTGGAGTTCCTTTGAAGTTTTGTGTACAACAATAATGCCTTATTTCCTTCTTGACTTCTGAGGCTCTTGGCTACTTGCCACAAGGTAAGCCAGGCCACCTCCTGGAGCATTAAGGCTTCTGTCCCATGTGGCACGTTGATCCAATCATCATTCAGAATGAGTGGCAGAGCTGTGGACCTATCAGTTGCCTATCTGAACACAGAAAGGCCCCTGAAACCAGAACAGGGTATCAATGTAGATAACCCAGATCTCACTGTAGGTACGAGAGGGGCTTGGGGAGTATAGGCAACTTTTACATTCAGAAAGTGGGCCAGCCTGGGGGCCCAGCTGGCAGCATACTGCACTGTAGTGCCAAAAGCTCCACGGCTGGCTGTGGGTTTGGACCCCGAGCTGACCTGAAAACATGGGGGATGTGTGTGCACTCAAGACCCCGACGAGCTGGAGGGTGTGGGAAGAGGACTGTAGTGTGAGAAGCACGTCCAGGGTGGTCCCCTCCCTTTTGCACATGCTTGCATGCACACTCATGAATAATAATAAAAAAAATTTAAAAAAAGAGAGAAGTGAAATAAATTCAGAACATAATTAATATTTATCCCCAGTTTCCTAAGAATTAATTTAGTATAGGGATGGCTGCTTTTTCTTATATTTAATTTGCACAAATCTGTAAGTTTCTCCTGGCTCTCTAATGAGAAGACTCTGAGGAATTTGGTCCAACCCAGAACTCCTCATGGGCTCCAGTGTACACGTCTCCACCCAGGAACTCCTTTGGTGTCTGAGAGAAGAGGCGTGGTGCGGTTTGTGGTGAATATGCCTGCTTCATGGTCAGTCCAGAGCACTCCTGTCAGTTTGTTCCCTGACCTCCAGGTTCTCGAGGTGTTCAAGGGTAGTATTGTGAAAATGGTCCTGGAGTCCAACTGATCTGGGAACCTGTGTTACTGTTTTACTGCGGGACCTCTTCGTCCTGAGATCTTAAAGCCCCAAGAGGATATGAGGAGGCACGGTAACATTTCCTTAACTGACTTGATCAACTCGAACCTTTCTCCAAGCATCATTTAGCAATAACCCAGAAGCAGCGTTATAGCAGAACTGTTTGGGAGACATGGTCTTAGTGCCTTTCCTGCTTTTTCCCTTGACGTTTTGGTGAGGAAAGGATGAAACAGAAGCGAAATGAAAGCATTTAAGCCCATGTTGAGCAGAGGGTATGGTGACAATGACAGGTACAGGAGTGCAGACAGAAGAGCTTCAGTCTCACTCCACTGGAGCATGGGGTTGCCGTGCTGACGTGGCATGAGAAGCCAGGGCAGTCCCCCAGCCATAAGGTTTGGAGACACCATCAGGAAACACCCACTGCATGACACACTGTGGATCACCCATAGCACATGCTGAACAGATCAACTAATGTACCAGAACTGCCATTCTATTAAAATTTGGGGAGAAAAATCTATCAGTTATTTATAAGCCAAAACACGTAACAAGAGAAAAGAAAACACTAAATTTCAGAAAAGCATCTCATTTGGGTAAAATTCCAACCGATGCTTAACAAAGGTCGTGTAACCGCTCCCAGCCACAGTTCACGAGTGGACCTTTCAGTATGATGGGCTGCAAGTGATCAGAACACTCTTCAAAGCCTACGTGAATCCTCGAGACCTTAAAAGGGCATGTATACTCGCTGGAGAGGGACGAAGAGACGGGGTGGGAGGGAAGGGAGAAAGCACGCCCCAAGGGGGCATGGTCAGGTACAACCCCCTTTCCATCTCTCTCTCCTGTCAGGACTTTGTGCATGCAAGCACTCATACCCAGCATGTTTCTTCAAGCACCTGGGGCCGGGATAGGAACTGTAATGGGCCATGTGGGATTCGGCTTCTCCTACAGCAATTTGACAAGAATAGAAACAGCATCCCAAATTACTCCACCAAAACACGTACTCTGAGGTGAGCAGACTTCCCCTTATTGTTTAGGCTTAAAACCGTAAGACAGAGTTCCTTTCCGAGCTACTTATTCTTCTGGTCTTGGAGGTGGCCTCCCCTACCCCTGGCATTCCAGCTCCGCACCGAGAGCCTCACCCGCTCGTACTCGTCCTTGGCTCTGCTCAGCATCTCCAGGATGTCGATGGGCCTGTGCTCGCTGCAGCCATTGGCCTGGCTGGGGCTCTGCTTATCTCGGGCAGCTTGCTGGGATCGCCGTGTCTCCTCTTCCACCACGCTAGAGGAGTAGAAGCAGGTTTTAGAAAGGCCCTTTAGAAACAATCTGACCCAAGCTCTTACGGTGTCCATTTTCCAAAGATAAACACTACAAGTTCCACAAAATGCCATTCTTGCATATGCATCACAGAGCCTTGTCCAGGACAGATGACTTACCATTTCACCACCTGTTTCTAAGACTGCCGCCCACTAGACAAGGGATCTTCAAAAAGTTTATCAAACGTGTACTATGAAAAAACTATGCGTGAATTTAAGCTTGGACATAATTCTATTTTGCCATGAACTTTTTAACACATCTTCATATTTTACCTTTAGAAGAACAAAAATATAAAATTCCTTTTATAGAGCTGGTGGAAGAAGGTATATTGAAAACTTTACCCCTTTCCTCAGGGTATCCCAAAATCAGGCAAGCAAACTGGTAAAGTAAATTTTAAACGACAATGTCACCAAGACATGAGAAGGCTGCACAGCTGGACAACCCACGGTGCAGAGTTGTACTGACCCTGGGCTAGCAAGGAGAAAGATCTGCATCTTGAGAGACAGAGCTCTTAGGGGCCAAGAGGTGGTGTGCTGGTTAAGGCACTGGATTCCTATATGGCTGACCAAGGTCTGAGTCCTGGACCTGGTGGCTTGCTTTCTCTATCTCTGGTGAGCTCATGTGTACTATAGCAAATTTAAAAATAGTAAGTATGGACTTAAAAATTAAAATGAAAAGAAATTAGAGGTCTTGGAGAGCTTTCAAAAGTTACTGATGGTGCTAAAAGCAAACAAAGGTGTCCCCCAGTTTTGGGCCAGCTCTATGGCATGGTGGTCATGCACTGCTCAGGGAAAGCTAGATCCCACATGCCAGCTGTGGCTCAGCCCCCCCCCCCCGTCAGCCTGAATCATGCAGGGCACCTGGCTAAGTGCCCAGATCTGATGGGGTGAAGGACTGAAGGAAGGGGGGTTGCAGGGTGCCCAGATTCTGTGGAGGGGGCGTGCACACGTGCTCTACTGTGAATAAAGTGAATGTCTGAGCATGGAGTGGCCACGGGAATGTCTTTTATTTTGATTGATATGGCTTAAGCTAATGCTTCACGTGAAAACCTGTAAATCAAGAAGTCTTGGGTTAAAAATAGGACTGATAGGGTTGGAGGAGTCTTTAAAACTATTTGTGGGATTTCATGTATTTATTAATTTTTTAGGTTTTTGCCATAGGGTGCTCGAAGAGAGAGACAGTGAGAAGAAACATGAGAAATCACCCCCAAGGAGGATGGCCACACTGCAGTCCCTTCTCCTCTATTCTCCTCTCGGGATTTTGGGCACGCATACACATGCACCCAGTTTGAGTTTCAAGTTGCTGGGTCAGGGGCTTGAACCACAGTTGGCCAAGTGGGAGTCCAGCAACGTAACAATTACACCATCTGCTGGCCTCACAGCAAAATGTCAATGAGAGCTGGGTGAAGAGTACATGGATATCTTATTAATTCCTATATGTTTCTTCAGGCTGGCTTTTTTATGGTAGGCTGGGAATTGAACACTGGTCCCTCCATGGAGCCCCGTGTGCACTACCACTAAGTGAACACTCCTAATAGCCACCACTGTTCGCCTGTGGGACAGGCCGCCCGCACTGTGAAGTATACCACTGCCGAGAGCCACACCATCCATGCGGAGGAAGAACTTTCAAACGAGGAGGCTTGGACTCAAGGTTTGGACTCAAAGGTCTTCTCTGACTCACAGTACGAATCATACCCGAGCCTCTCTCCTTTCCGCTTAAACACCAAAACATGTCCCCAAGACTTCTATGAGATCAGGCATGAAGTTTATTTCATGAGTTCTTCAAATTCTATATAGTCATTGTGAACAAACATCCAAATAAGTTTTCATTGTTAAAAACGGTTTCTGGCAAGCTGGTTTTCCTTTTAAGGAAGTCAACAACTTCCAAGTTCAGTGGGTTTTACATTGCCACTGACCAGAGACAATGTCCAAATTTAGTGGAAGTCTAGAAGTTTGCTTACTTTCATACGTGGTTTCTCAGTTTTTATAAACAAATGTTAGAATAGGTACATTGTATTACTTGGAGAATTTTAATTATATTACAACTGCCAAAATAGTGATGGGATGCACTGTATTTAACAGAAAGGGCACTGACAGACACGTCTGCCTAGATAACACGATACATTTTCTAGTATTTCCGGTTAGCAGAGGTGCTATTCTGAAACATGCAGCAACCAGACAAAGATTTGGGCAAATTTATAGCAAAAGTGGATAGTCTTTTTAAGCTTCAATGCCCTGTGGGCCAGCAGGTCGTATGATAGTTAAGGTGCTGGACTCCCACATGGCTGACTGTGGTCTGAGTCCCAGATCTGGCGGCTTCCTTCTCGCTTCCTCTCTAGCTCTCTCATCCTCTCTCTTTCTGGCAATCATGTGTGCTCTATAGTGAATTAAAAATAAATAAAATTAAGTGAAATAAATAATTAGTTTTCTTGAGAGATTTTTGCTATAGGGCACATGTACTGACCAGAGAGACAGAGAAATGGAAAGTGATAAATCACCTGGGGGATAGGGGTGGGAGGTGGCCATTCTGCAATCCTTTCTCCTCAATTTTCTCCTGGGATTTTGGGCATGGATGCACGTGTGTCCGGCATACGTTTCAAGTCCCTGGGTTCAGGACTTGAACTGTGAACCATGGTTGGCCATGTGGGAGTCCAGCACCTGCTGGCCCCCACATTTAATTTGTTTGCTTTAACCATTCATAGGCCAGGCATCTGAAAACTCCTGATTGAAGGGCATCTTCTAAACTCATCAATACCGCCCTGCTTCTAGTCAAACAAGCTGAAAATTTAAGCAGATGTCCTTTGGGGGCATTTCTAGCAAAAGCGCCCCTATGTTCTTTTCCCTCTTTACTTCTTGTTTCTAGTTCCTCACCCTACTTGAGGTTCAATAGTTTTCTCAGGTAAGCTTCCACGTCTGGTTCATTTACTGTTGGAAGTCTTGCTTAATGCTCTTGCCATTTGCTCTGGCAGACAGAAAAGCTCAAAGTGGTTTCCTCTCAATAGCTGTGAGAGCTAAAAGAAAGAGATTCTGACTTGAGGTCCCAAATATTCTGGGTTTCTGGATAACTATGAATCAACAAATATGTAGACAAAAACCTTGCAGAAGAGCCAAGGGAATTTTTTTTGGAGCGGTTTTTGCTATAGGGTGCGTGCGCTTGCCAGACAGAGAGAGAGAGACATAGAGACAGAAAGTGAGAAATCACCCCCCAGGGGGGATGGTCATGCCGCAATCCCTTCTCCTCCATTATCTTCTCGGGATCTTGGGCACGCACACACATGTGCCTGGTGTGAGTTTTAAGCCACCGGGTCCGGGACACGAACCACGGTCGACTATGTGGGAATCCAGCGACATAGCCATTACCTAACTGCTGATTCCTGAGCCAAGGGAATTTTGATTTGACAGAGGGGAAGGTCCACATTTCTGCAGAGATTCAGGCCAAAATGGATAAGGAGGTGTTTGCACCAGAACACAATGTCTGCCGTAACACTGCCCAGGAGCTCTGGAGTCCCACTGGCCCCTCCAGGACCACAGTGTGTCGGGCTTCTAGAAACCAGACGGCAGTCCGGTAATACAGACAGGCCGCATAAGGGGTGACTTCTACATGCTAGTTCAAGAAAGGACAAGCCATCTTCAGAATAGTAACTGAATGAAAGTTATTTTCTAAATTTCAAGATTCTGATTGACAGAGATCTCTGGAACACACTGTACTCATAGACAGGGGCCTGCTAGACCTACAGTCTGAGCTGAAAACAAGTTTGCTCAAAGGAATTCAACATGCAAGGGTGTGGGGGTTCTCTATCAGGTCACCTGACATTTACTACAGGGGAAATCTGGACAGAAACTATCAAAGCCATTGGTTACAGCAGTCAGGTTGTGCATGGGATGTACTAGGTCATTGGAAAAGTCATGACGCATCTCTGCACGGAAAAGCACGTTCCGACCGTTCTGACCACCCCACAGATGACACCCTGGGTGGTTCAGCAAGCCCTAACCTACACGTTCAATAGGAAGGCTCTGGTTAAATTACGATCTGTCTGTAAGGCGGACACAAAGCAGTCATTATAAATACTATAGAGAAAAATTTAATGCCCTGGAAAAATGCTGTTGACATCAAAAGCGGGATATAGTTTGATCCTGTTTTTGTGAAAAATGACCGCACATGTCAACCTAATACACACATAAGGAAGGAAACAAACCAAACTGCTAACACTGGGAACAGTAGGATTTTAGAGAATTTTAGACTTGTTTTTTTTTTTTTTTGGAGAGGTTTTTGCTATAGGGCACGTGCGCTCGCCAGAAAGACAGAGAGTGAGAAATCACCCCCCAGGGGGGATGGCCACGCTGCAATCCCTTCTCCTCCATTCTCCTCTCGGGATCTTGGGCACGCGTGCACACGCACCTGGTGTGAGTTTAAGCTACTGGGTCCGGGACTCGAACCGCGGTCGGCTACACGGGAGTCCAGCGACAAAGCCATTACGCCAACTGCTGGTCCCAGAGAATTTTAGACTTCTTTAAGCATTTTTGCCCATTTCGAATTTTTGGCAGTAAGAAAATAAAGGAGGAACACACACAGCAATACTTTAATAACACAGAGAAGTGGAGAAAGGAATCTTTAAATAATTAATTTTTGGAATAATAAAAATACTCACTCAGCCATGAGTTTTGCTATACGGTGACAGTCATTCTTGTCGTAAAACCAGATACTGTATATTGACACTTGAAAAACAAAGGTAAAAAAAAAGATAAGTGAGATGAGACATCAACAGTTGGGTCTATGCAAATAATATAGCATCACCATGGAACGTTACTGAACTTACCACCAGACTTACAAAAACGGTCCTTCGAAAGAAAAAAAATACCTCCCCCCCAAACTCTATTAAATAATATCAGGACAAGTCAAATATTCAGATTAAAACTGCAAAAAATATTTTGAGATATTATTATGAGAATTTAAGATGTTACTAAGATATACCATTACTCATATATTATCGAGAAAGAAAAATTAACTAAGAGTCAATTAATACTGATTGTGAGACATATGTGGAATTGTTATTAAAATGTGAAAAAAAAAAAAAGCAGCATTGTAATTATTGAAAACCAAGCTCACTGGCTAACTGAACACCAGAAGTTTGAGTCTCTAACTTACAATATGGAATTAAAACTGTTATGGTAAAAACACAGCTTTAGGGGCTGGCAAGTAGTGTGGTGATTAAGGGTGCTACACTCACACATGCCAACCACGGACCTGGTGGCTTGCTTTCTCACTTTCCCTCTCCGGCCAAATTAAAATAAATAAATAGATAAAGTTAAATAAAGTAATTCTTTAAAAAAGGCAAACAAACACAGCTTTAAAAGCATATCACCCACATCCATCCTTCGGCCAGCTGTTTACATGGGCCCAGGACTGCACTCGGTTGATCTTTTCCCATTTTTTTCCCCCATCATGGTCATCAGCACAAAGGAAGCTCTCAAAATACATTTGTTGCAAGATAAATGAACTTTATTATTAAAGATGAAAAAATACAGAAGTGACTGTGAATAGTTTTTGGGCAGGCAGAGAAGAAACACTGAACATATTAACCGGAATAAACACAGGGCTGGGTAAGGCTCCCAGCTACGCGTGCACCACCAGGACACTCACAGTATGTCTTGGCTCGTGCCCCCTTTGATACTTCTGATCACTCTGGCACAGGAAGGGCAAGAATCATTATGCCTTTTAAAAAATATTTATTTAATTTAATTAATTCATTCATTTTAATTTGACGAGAGAGAGAGAGCGAGAGAGCGAGCAAGCGAGAAAGCAAGCTACCAGGTCCAGGACTCGAACCATGGTCAGCCATGTGGGAGTCTCCAGCGCCTTAACCACCATACCACCTGCTGGTCCCGCCATTTTTTTCTTTTTAAAGTGACAGTACCTTCACATACAATTATAAAAACGAGACATCTCTGTGCCCTCTAAGCTGTCCTGGCCAATGGTAACGTTTTACAGAATCAGGGTACTGTCTCACAGCTGGGATGTGGAGCAGCCAAGATACAGAAGAGCTCCGTGGCCTCCAGGATCCCTGGTGCCCTTTTTACAGCCACATCCACCTTCCCTGGTCCCCTCCTCCAACTGGGACCCCTGGCAAACACGTCTGTCCTCGATTTCTATGCCATTTCAACAGGGGATTCATACAGTATGTAACCTGACAGGACTGATTTTCTGACTCAGCATTAATTCCCTACAGAATCAGCCAAGTCGTTGCTTGGATTAGCAGTTCCAACTCAGGGTCCCCCACCAGATCTCCTCCTCCTCCCACCTTTCAGAGTCCTCCTGATGGTCTCTCATCATTTCCAGGTTTTATAGTACTACTCAGCAGG